TGTGTGTGTGTTTTTGTTAGGGCGAGGGCAAATGAAAGAGTGAGACAGAGGTGGTTTCTGGATGTTTGACTCACTGTTAATGTAGTTTCCGGTGCTTTGATACAAAGTGAATCAGTGGTGACTGGGGGTAAGAAGAAGCCATTAAGCAGTAGACCACCTAATTGTCGCTCAGCATGTGCTCTTGTGTGCATAATAAGTGTGTAGTTTTGGTTCAAGGGGAATTATGTCTGTTTATTGCACTAAAATACACAAAAGTATGCGGAAACCCCAAACCTTGCAACCTCCCTCTGCAAATCTCTCCACAAGACTTTGAATCCCTGCTGCGGAGATTTGCTCCTTCTCAAGCTCCAGCGTTCAACTTGAACTGTTGAATGGAAAGAGGTCGCATCCATTATCCAGTAACTTGTCTCCATACAGCCGCGAAATACACATGCTCGATGTTTCCTGCGCTGGTGGGATCCATAGCCCCCGGGCACCTGGAGTAATTCGGTGCAGGTGAATCTGGCCTTTGTGACTCAACCTGTAGCTTAAGGATGTTTTCCTCGTAATCCAGGAACAGAGGGGCTGATGAACATCTACTGATAGTGGTCGACATAATGAAATAATAATGAAATGGCTTCTCTGATTTATCTTGTTTTTGTCTTTGGGCTTGTGTCTCTTATTTGCCCTAGAATGGAGGAGATCAAACTGCAGTGGGGAATAAACCCTGGCTTTTGGAAAACAGCAGCTATGAAGCTCATACTGTGAAATATTTTATACATTTTATTTTCTTAAATCTGTCAATGCATTTATCAATTCATTTTTAAATTTACCAGGATCAAGATTAAGTTAAATTGTATTATGGGGGAAAGGTTCTGAAGAATACGTTTTTTAGGTTAGATTAGATTCAACTTTATTGTCATTGCACATGTCATAAATACAAAGCAACAAAATGCAGTTCTGGGAAAACTAATAAAAATCAAAGCATTGTGCAGGTACACAAACAAAAACTGGGTCTAGAGGATCAGAGTTGCTGCAAAATTTGTAGCACATATATGAATTAGCTAAATAAACCTGAAAAACAACCTCAGATTAAAAATACCCAACATGTCCATATATTTGTGGACATTTCAGTCAAAAGTGTGCCACCAGGTCCGGGGCGGTGACACGGGGGCTAAGCCTGCGGAGTATTGAGTTAGATTGAGAGGACATTATGCAAACACAGATGTGCTGCCTTCCTATAATAACTTCCTCAGAAGCGACAGCAGCTCAGTGTTGAGCTATTTAAGACCAGGAATCCTTTGAGGAGGGAGGATTTTCCTTCCCCACTTCTCTCTGTCCCTCCCTCTGTCTCTCTCTTTCTGTCATTAATAATACGATATTGTCCCATCTGTCAGGGGAGCCAGCGTGGAGCACGTGTTTCCAGTTAGGCTCATCAGAACCTGATGTGGGGAGGCCGCGGTGAACGTGAGGGACTGAAACTGGGAAGCCCGGCCCAGAGTGGGAACGGCGGCACTGGGGAAGCTAATTAAATCACTGGCTCTCCACAGTGTCAGAGCACAGGTATATACACGAGTGATATATGAAAAGTCTGTATGGACTGGGAGACACTTGTGGGGGAGATGTGGAGCTGCTAAAAGTGACTCGCCAGCCTGCACTATGAATAGTCAAATAATGTCCATTCCCATGATTTAAAATTATCACACTGCACAAAACATCTTTCCCACCCAGACTCCTCTTTTTCATGGTGAGAACGTGTAGCCAAACGTTCATAGACCCATAACTCTCATGACCTGCAGGTGACCGTACGTTTATACTGTCTCATGCGATCTGCTCACCAGGCAAAGTGTACCTGCCCTGCGACACGAGTTAGTTCACATCACTATTAACATATTTGGGAGATGCCATAAAGTAAAAGGCAAACAAGAGAACAGCACGATCAAAGGCCTTGTTCTGCCCACTGCTGTTACACCACCTCCAGACAGTATTGCTGCAATCGCTCTTCACTAAATCAGATGCAGAAATAAACATCTCTGGGGTTTGAATCTGCAGCCAAAACTCCCTCACATCAGGGATCGCGTCCAAATATCCCACATCCATACAGAGGAAAACAGCACTTCTGATCTGTGATGCACTGTGTGATAATCTATTACTGATTCCAGGTGGAATATGATCAATATATATGTAAAACAGATTTAAACTAGT